TCACTCACTGTTTCATCTGATTTCAAGAAGCATCGTTAATGGGATAGTAAAGGCTGCTACCTTCTTAAATTCCATCTTAATACGAGTTTTTTTTTTTTTTTTTTTTTTTTTTTTTTAAAAAAAGTTTTTTTTTTTATGCTCATCAGAGAGACAGAGACACAGAAAGCAAGAAATCGCCCCCTGGGGGGTATGGCCTTCTCCTCCATTCTCCTCTCAGGAATTTGGGCATGCATGCACACACACCTGGTGTGAGCGTCAAGCCTCTGGGTTGGAGACTTGAACTGCGATCGGCCATGTGGGAGTCTAGTGATGTAACCATTATACCATCTGCTGTCCCAGTAAGAGTTTTTCTGTAATAGTTTTTTCACAGGAAGAAACAAAGTATCACAAAGACTGAAACCAAGGTGGAAAATTTCTGATGCTGTCAAATCAACAACAAACAGAGGAAAAAAGTGCTCAAGACACTGGACACCCGGGCTGGCCCTGTGCGCAGTGGTTAAGCACTGTGTGTTGGGACTCAGATCCCACATGGCCAACTGCGGTTCAAGCCCCAGCCCTGGTGGCCTGAGAAGCACTCAGGGCACGTATGGGTGCATCTGTGTCCCAAACCCTGATGGGATGAGAGACGGAGGGAGGGGGGCTGTGGCACCCACTGGGGTACTTTCTCCGTGTGTGTCTCTGTCTGGTAAATGCTCGTGCCTTCTGACAATAATAAAAATAAAAGGCGTCAGGCAGAACAGTTTTGGGTAAATAACCTTAAATGAAGTACCTTGAGTTTCACTATTTTTTTTTTTAATTTTAAAATTTTTTTGGAGAGGTTTTTGCTATAGGGCGCATGCTCTCACCAGAAAGACAGAGAGAGACACAGAGACAGAAAGCGAGAAATCACCCCCCCCCGGGGGGGATGGTCACACCGCAGTCCCTTCTCCTCCATTCTCCTCTCGGGATCTTGGGCACACACGTACATGCGCCTGGTGTGAGTTTAAGCCACCAGGTCTGGGACTCGAACCGCAGTCAGCTACATGGGAGTTCAGCGACATGGCCGTGACACTAACTGCTGGTCCCGTTTCACTGTTTTCAGCACTCATGTCCCAGAGTATCAAAGCTTGGCTCAGTTCAGTGACTAGGCTGCTTTTAGGGTGAGGGACCATTCAGGGAGGTAAATGGAAATAAGACCCTAACAAGGCCACAGCCCCGGGCCCATCTGTAAGACCAGCCACTGAAAATCCCCACTTGCTCTAGAGCGCCTGCTACTGGTGACCAACGTTTTCCTTTCACACTGCCCCCTCCTTGTTTTAAGAATGATTTATTTTATTAATTATTATGATTAATTATTTAATTTGACTAGAGAGAGACAGAGAGAAAGAGAAAGTGAGACAGGGAAGCCAGGTCTGGACCCTGTGGGAGTCCAGCGCCTTAACCACCATGCCACCTGACGGGCCCTCTCTGTTTTCTTTCTTTTCTTTTAAGGGAAATCCACAAAAAAGGAAACAAACCATGTGAAAATTCTGGTCATTTGGCGTGCCAGCAGCAAATAAAAATCATCACTAGGACCCACTTTTAGCCTTGAGCAATATTTTCTAAAACAAAACACGAAGAACCCATGGTACTTAACTATTCTGTTATTGATTTTCTGGGGCTTGCAAGGTAATGTTGAAGAAAATGAAATGTACGGGAGCCTGAAATGCGTTTTCTGTGGCGGCGAGTGGAGTGACCTGTGTCCTCGAGGCGGCATCGCTGTCATGCAGGGGTGAGCGGCTGGGGCTACACACTCTATCTGCTTGCACGCAGGCCGGCGGCCTCAGCTGCGGAGCCCTGCGAAGCCCAAGCCTGTGTGCGGTGTGAAGACAGTTACTTGGTTACACGCTTGTTTCCGCTGGTAGCCCTGCTCCAGTTCACCCACCGACTTTAGTTCAATAAATCCACTATGGATGTGTTGAGAGGCTTCTGTGAGCAGGAACTGAAATCCGGTTTTTAGAGTCTAGGGACTCTGCCTGGTGTATTTGTGGCTCAGAAAATAGTAAGACCTCACCCTCTGAGGCCTACCCTCCTTACCGACTCCAGAGCAAAATGACCTCACTGCTGCGAGCGTGGACGTTTCTGTGACACCTTCCAAGGAGCCCTGTTTCCTATTCAGGGAGACGGCCTGTTCCCATGTCTATAGGCTCTTTACTACCTACAGGCCACTACAACGTGACACTCCCATCCTAGACACAGAATCTGGAAGTTAAACGAAAACTTGAACCTTCCATTTTGGTCATAGGGTGCAAGTATTAGCTGGAGAGAAACGGAGAGCCAGGGAAAGTGAGAAATCTCTCCGTGGGGGCCCAGGGGGTGAATGGTCATGCTGTAACTCCTCCCCGGAGTTTTGGGCAAGCATGGACACGCGCCTGTTGTGATTTTCAAGCTATTGGGTGGGGGACTTAAGACTGCTTAGCCATGTGGTAGTCCAGTACCTTAACCACCACACCACCTACCGGCCCCACCTTTTCTCTTTTAAAAAATTATTATGGGGCCAGCAGGTGACATGGTGGTTAAGGGCACTGGACTCCCATGTGGTTGGCCACGGTTTGAGTCCCCGACCTGGCAGCTTGCTTTCTCACTTTCCCTCTCTCTCTTGCTCTGTCCCTCTCTGGTCAAATTAAAATAAGTAAAGATAATTCTTAAAAGAAAATGATAATAATAATGAACACGTGAGAAGTCACCCTCTACAGGTGCTACCGCGCTGCGAACCCTTTGCCGCTCCTCAGGCTCCTGGGCACCTGGCACAGTCCCAGTGTGTGAGACCCGAACCCACGGTCAGCCATGTGACCTCCAGCCCTGCAGAGCACCAGCGTCACCGCTGAGCCACAGCGGCTGGGCAGCACGTTCGACTTTCACCTCAACCCTCACGTCTGAATTCAAACCAATTTTCTTGTGTTTTTAGACTTCTTTTTTATTTCTGGGAGAGGTTTTTTGCTATAGGGTGCATGTGCTTGCCAGAAAGACAGAGAGATGCAGAGAGACAGAAAGCGAGAAATCACCCCCCCAGGGGGATGACCACGCCGCAATCCCTTCTCCTCCATTCTCCTCTCGGGATCTGGGGCACACACGCACACGCGCCCAGCATGAATTTAAACTGTCGGGTCTGGGACTCAAACCATATCAAACCATAATTGATTATGTGGGAGTACAGGGATGTAGCCATTACTCCATCTGCTGGTCCCTCCTGTGTTTTAGACTTCTAACAAGCATAGCATCTGATTTCCATATATGAATCTCTATAAATAAGAGAGACAGAGAGACAGAGAGGGAGACAGCAGCTCCCATGGGGAATGGTCACGGCACAATCTCTCCTCCTCAGTCTCTCCCTCCTCTTCGGATTTTGGGCACGCGTACACACGTGCCCAGAGGTTCTCTCGAAACGTCGGGTCCAGGACTTGAACTGTATGGTCTGCCACACGGGATTCAGCTGCGTTAGCCAGCAGGCCATAGAGTCAGCTTGGTTTCCCAAACTAAAATGCAGAATAAATAGCCATATAGAGGAGGAAGAGGGAAGAACAAGAACATAAAAATGGCATCCAGGGGCCAGCAGGTGGCGTGGTGATTAAGGCTGCTGGATTCCTACATGGCCGACCGCAAATCGAGTCCCAGACCTGGCGGCTTGGTTTCTTGCTTTCTCTTTTCTCTCTCTCTCTCTCTCTCTGTTTTTTTCTTGCTCTCTCTTTCTCTCCCTCTGATCAAATTAAAAAAAAAAAGTAAATAAAGTTAAATGAAATAATTCTTTAAAAAAATGGCATCTATTAGCAAAAGTGGATCATAGAAACAGAACTGGTTTTAGGGTCACCGAGTGACAAAGGGCCTTACGCACGTCAGTAAGAGGAGACGCTAGAACAGCAAAACCCAGCAAACAGACAATGTCATAACAATGACCTGAGGATGCCATTGTTTACAAACGCTAAATCCTGACGCACAGATTATACTTAAATGGTCAGGGAGATGTATAATATATTTAAGAAGACCTCAGGTAACTTTGTTTTTCAAGTTTTGATTTTATAAGGACTATAAGGAGGTTGAGGTGGCCATCCCACATGGCCTAGTATATGGTTTGAGTCCCAGACCCAGTGGCTTGAAAAACATGCTGTGCATGCCCCAAATCGGAAGACAGTGGAGAAGGGGTTGCCATTCCCCCGGGGATGCTTACTCACTTTCTGTCTCTCTCCTGCAAGTGCATGTGCCCCTACAGCCCAAACTAAAACTTCCATTATCTGAACACCTTCCTTATGTGGGGGCAGCCCATTCCCTGATGGTGCTGTTACAGCCGTGCTGCCATGTGAGCTCTGTTTACTTATTTAACTACAGGGCGTGTGCGTACGGCAGAGAGAGTCGGTGAGAGAAAGTGAGAAAGCATCCCTCGAGGAGGAAGGACACATGGCAGTTCCTTTCCCTCCATTTTCCCCTTGGGATTTGCGAACACACACGCATGCTCCAGGTGTGCTTTTTCAAGCTGCCAGATCTGAGACCCGAACTGCACAGTTGGCCACGTGGGATCCAGCAGCCTTAACCACCACACACTGGCCGGCCCATACTGGGCTGCGAACACCGACATCAAACACAGCGGTGGCTCTCGCTCTGCACACTGCCTTTCCACGAGGTTCGCCCCGCAGTGCTACGATGTCAGAGGCTCAAGCCTCCCGCCCCCGTCTGGGCGTGGTAGAGACCGCGGAGGCCGCTTAGGCCCAAGTTTATCTCGGTTTCTGCTGCCCAGAGTTTGACTACTTCTGAGATTTATGCTCAAAGTAGAGGGGGGAAAAAAAAAAAAAGAAAAACCTCCCAGAGCAGATTTATAACCTCATCTTGTGTTTTTAATAACAGCAGGGGTGATACCCTATGACATAATCTTGGGGTGACTGCAGGGCAGCTCGGAAAGTCTGTGGGAAGTTTTATATTTGGGGTTTGGAGCATTCTGTAGTGGCAAGGTCAGGTAGGAGAGGGCCAGGGAAATGAGCCAGAGAGCCGGTCAGAGAGTGAGTGTCAGCCGGTTTAATTTTCTGTGTCAACTCTGAAAATTAGATAAACAATGACAAACCAGGCTTTTTAAATGAACTTGTCACTTCTGGTTTTCTTGATACAGGGGAACATTTTTCAAGTCCCAGTAGCTCCAAAGACAGATTTAACCCCTGAGAGGTTTATCCAGGTGTTTGAAAGCCCTCACATCTGAAACAAAAGATTTAGTCCACCCCTTAAAGGAAAAGCTAATTATCCTTGAAATATAAAGACTACTCATAACTGTTAAGTGGACTCTGCCTAGAGCCAGAAGGTCTGGTCTTTTTGCAGAAGGTCTCAACAATTTCCTCATTCCCCCCTTCATTTTTTGCTCCCAATGCAACTCAACCCTTCAACAGGGTTCCCTTGATCTTAACCTCCTTTGCAGACACGTCTTCGACCACATCCTAAGCATTCCTTCCACACCAAGCAGCTCTCCTCTCACCGGCCAGCTGAGTGTGGCCCGCCCTGCCCGTCTTGCCGTCCAGTTGCTCGGAAAAGGTGGGAGGTAGCCATTGCGCCGACTCAGACACGCTCTGTCCATGGGAGTCTACACAGCCTCCAGGACGTGCTCCCCGATATGACTTTGCTACAAGGAAATTTATCCAAACAGAACCTGGTTTGAGTATGTTGATTGAGAAAGAAATGCTTCTATTTATATTTATAGATTCCTGCATTTGTGTAGGGATTTTCATTCCACAAAGCACTTTCTTTTTTTAAAAAAAATATTTAACTTTGTTTATTTATTCATTCATTTTAATTTTACCAGAGAATTATTTTTTAATTTGACCAGAGAGAGAGAAAGCGAGAAAGCAAGCCGTCATGTCTGGGACTCAAACTGAGGTTGACCATGCAGGAGTCCAGCGCCCTTAACCACCTGCTAGCCCCTCCACAAAGCACTTTCAATCTCGTTTTCTTATTCAAGTGTCACAACGACCCCGTGAAGTAGCCGGATGGCGTTACCGTCATTCCCTTGGATTTGCAGAATTGAAAATGATGTGCAGAGAAGTTAAGTGATTTGGCCAAGGCAAAGCTGGGATTTGAACTGGTCGTTAGATCCAAAAGCCTGTGCCTTTGCAGTATGGCAGCCATGGCAACGTAATAGCTGGCTGTGTGAGCTCCCAGTCACCATACACCCCTCCCGAACTCTAGAAGAGTCCCCTCTCACTGTGCCAAGCTTCCAAGTCATCCTCGGTGCCAGTGACCACTGAGAGGAAAAGAGATTCACCAGAAGGCGTGGCTAACCTCAAGTGGCATCGCCCAGGCCTCGTGCATCTGAGCAGAGACTCTGCAGCTCTGCCTCTCCCGGGGGTGCCCACAGCGTGAGGGCTCTGTCTGGGGGCACAGCTGCCTCTGGCTCTCTGGAGCCCTGTGGACTCATCTCCGACACGGCCTTCCCCCGCGGCTCTGCAGTGCGAGCCCAGCACCGACCTCACAGGAAGGCCATGTGTGAGCGGCCAGCACAGGGGCAGCCGTGGGGCCAGTTCTGCAGCTGTGACGACCAAAGGCCCGCATTTGGCAGGATTCCTCATATTCCTCTCCATCGCCTCGAACGCGTGCTCGGGGCAAGAGCTGCGGACACTCGGAGGTTTCTGCCTGTGTCTGCTCGTCTGGCAGCGCACACTGGCGTGGGGCGGGTGGCGGAGAGTTAGAGGCCGTTCTGCTCCCCACGAACAAAGGGCCCTCCCCATGCAGGGAGAAGCCCCTTCCCTGAGCCTCAGACCTAAAAACCCAATGTTCTCCCCATTTAAAACAAGAAGGAGCAGACTTCTCCTGGGTTTAGGATTCCATGTAACTAAAACACAAAATAGAAAAAAGGAATCCCAACTGTTGCGCTCGTGCACAGCCTATAGACAAGACGGCAGCGCCCTCAGACAGCATTTCAAATACAGTTTATTAGTGTGTGATATGAAAAGGGTATTTTTATTGCATGATATAATGCAATGGGACCTTGGGCGCTCTGTGGAAAGACCTCACACTCAGAAGTGTAATGAACCCGTAGTCCCAAAAACATTATACTGTACATTAACCTATCATTAATGGCACATTAGGGCTAGGGGCATTGCACGCTTGCTGGTCAGGGCTCCATCAGGACAGTGTTGAGAAAACCACACAGTCTTCCCGGGCTTAAAACAAATAGAGAAAATAAATATTCCTGATGTCTACGGGCAGCTTTAAAGGAAGTTCAATCCCAGCTCTGCCTTGCAATTTCCAAGCCTGCTTTTTAAAAAGAAGACGAAAGAGACACAACCAAACAAAGGGAGAAGAAAAGGGCCTCCTTGCAGTGCACCCCCAGCTATGGGCTGTGCGGCTCGGTGCCAGCCGGGCAAGGCTGGGTAGACAGGACCTGTGCCAGTAGAGAAGCTGCCCGAGGGACGCTCAGGCCCGGGCCGCTGATGGCACAGCAGGAAGGGGCTCAGAGGTGGGGAGTCCACGCCCTTGACTTTTTATTTTTAAAGGAAGTTTTTTTGCTATTGGTTGTGCTCACCAGAGAGACAGAGAGACAGAAAGTAAGAAATCACCCCTCAGGGAGGATGGCCACACCGTAATCCCTTCTCCAGTCTCCTCTTGGGGTCTTGGGCATGCACATACATGTGCCCAGTGTGAGTTTAAACTACTGGATCCGGGACTCGAATTGCGGTGGACTACTTGGGAGACCAGCAACATAGCCATTACACCATCTGTTGGTCCCCACTTTTTTTTTTGGAGAGGTTTTTGCTATAGGGCATGTGCGCTCGCCTGAAAGACAGAGAGACAGAGAGACAGAAAGCGAGAAATCAACCCCTGGGGGGGATGACCACGCCGCAATCCCTTCTTCTCCATTCTCTTCTCGGGATCTTGGGCACCCACGCACACATGACCAGCGTGTGAATTTAAGCCACCAGGTTCAGGACTCGAACCGCAGTCGACTACATGGGAGTTCAGCGACATAGCCACTGCTGCTCCTGACCCACATTTTTTATTTTAAAGGAAATTTTTTTTTTGCTATAGGCATGTGAGCTCACCAGAGAGACAGAAAGTGAGAAATCACTCCTCAGGGAATGGCCACACCACAAACCCTTCTCCTCCATTCTCTTCTTGGGATTTTGGGCATGCGCACACATGCGCCTGGGGTGGGTTTCAAGCCACTGGGTCCAGGACTCCAACTACGGTTGACTAAGTGGGAGTCCAGTGACGTAACCACTATACCAACTGCTGGTCCCCCAAATAAAACAATTCTTCACAAAAATCATATAGGGCATATCCATATTATGAAGGAGAGACCAGCAGATGGCATAATGGTTACATTGCCAAACTCCCACATAGTCGACCACAGTTTGAGTCCTGGACCTGGTGGTTTAAAACTCATGCCAGGCACATATACATGCACACCCAAACTCTCAGGAGGAGAATGAGGAGAAGGGATTGTGGTGAAGCCACTCCCCTGGGGGGGATGATATCTTGCTTTCTGGCTCTCGAACAAGTGCAAGTGCCCTATAGCAAAAACCTCAAAAACCTCAAAAAAAAAAAAAAAAAAAACAAAAAAAAAAAAAAAAAAAAAGAAATGAGGGAGGGGCCAGCAGGTGGTATGGTGGTTTCAGCACTGGACTCCCATATGGCTAACAGCGGTTCAAGTCCTGGATCTGGTGGCTTGCTTCCTCACTTTTCCTCTCTCTCTCTCTCTAGTCAAATTAAAATTTAATAATAACAACAATAAATACAATTAAGTAAAATAATTAAAAATTTTTTTTAAATGAGGGAGACCTTTATGGGGTATGAGAAAATCACAAAGATATATTAAGTGAAAAAGCAAGATGCAGAATAAAAATAATGAAAGCTTATGCAAGGATATACAAATCACTATTAGCAGTGCTTACCTCTGGGGAAGTGCATGGGAGCCATAGTGGGGGTTCAGAGAGCACTAACTTCTTATATATCCCTCTTTATTATTTAATTACAAAAAAAAAAAAAACTTTTTTTTTTTTTTTTTTGCTATAGGCCACATATGCTTGCTAGAGACAGAGAGAGGGAATGCGAGAAAGCACCCCCTGGGGGGATGGCCACACCACAATCGCTCCTCCTCCATTCTCCCCTCGGGATCTCAGGTACTCGTGTGCACGTCGCCAGCCAGGCCACCAGATCTGGGACTGGACCTGTGTAGTTGGCCATGTGCGATCCAGATGCCTAAACCACCATGCCACCAGCTGGCTCTGAATTTTTAGCCATAAATAAAAAACGAGGTTTAGAAAATAAACAATGAGGGCAGGACTAAACATTTTTGGAAGAAAGTACTATTTTCCAACTCCTATGCTCTGAGCACTTTATGTGCTTCATCTTGTTTGGATTTTTTCTTTTTTTTTTGAGAAGTTTTTGCCATAGGGCACATGAGCTCGCCAGACAGACAGAGACAGAAAGCGAGAAATCACCCCCCAGGGGGGATGGCCACACCACAATCCCTTCTCCTCCGTTCTCCTCTCGGGATCTTGGGCACGCATGCACACGAGCCTGGCGTGAGTTTTAAGCCACCAGGTCCGGGACACGAACCGCGGTCAATCATGTGGGAGTCCAGCGACATAGCCATTACGCTAACTGCTGGTCCCATCTTGTTCGGATTTTTCATACAAACAGGAAGCATACGTAGGTGACTGTTACGCCTCTTTCAGGGAGTGGGAATGACAGGTACAACAATTTGCTCAAGGTGACCCCCTTACCCATCCATCTTCAGTAATGAATGGTTTCTGCAAAACACAGAAATGCGTTCCATACCTGATGCGGCTTGCACCACCTTCGTGGGTGGGGACCGCCTGCCTAGCCTGGCAGGGACCGTGGAGGGGGGGAGAATGCAAAGGCTTTGCAGTGAAATCAAATTTCTGCAAACATCTCTCCGTATCATAAACGGGAAGAGGGCCTCGGGACACCTAGAGCTACACATCACTTAAGTAAATAAGGCCGGGCAACCAGGGCTGACACAAAGGAAGGGAAACAGTTTCTTATCACATATGGATCAGCTTCAAAGGAACCGCACTTCCGTGGACGAGCAGCTGCCTCAGACCTCAGACTCTCAAGGTGACAGCAGAGGCGAGAACTGTCCAGAGAGTCCCCACGTGAGTGGGCAGTGTGGGCCAAGAAAGTTTACCCTCTGTTTTCTCCTCCCTCCATTCTTCCCAAAGAGTCTTGCTATTTTGGGGTGGCAGGCTGCAGCAACACTTTAGAATGCGAGATTTTATTTGTCCTAGGGTCTGCCAGCACGTGCTGTAATTAAAATGTTGATTAGTAAACAGTTTAAATATATGACAGACAATGCAGTTAAAGCCTACAGTTAGGTCAATATGTGATTTAGATTTGCCATTTAAAAAATCTCATTTAAATTTTGCATACATTAATCACTACCATACTTCAAGGTTCTGATATCCACCTGACTACAATATTAAAATAAAACTTGCTGCCCCAGGGAAATCCTACTTATTCTTAATTGTTTCGAGGCTTTGATGGGCTTTTAATCTAAGATTAATTTATGCAATTTTAAATAACTCTTCTTATGATTAATAAGCTTGAAAATTAAAAGGAGTCTAAAGCAATTATAATGAGCATTTGGTCATAACCTCATTA